TCCCACACTTTCTCTGTTATCTATGTTTGCTTTCTATACCATTTTCCCCCCACATTTTATTGAATCACCAAAGACCCTCATCAATCCAAATACCCTCCTAGCAAACACATGTGACACATTTCCATGAGCACAAGTCTAACTTTACGCATCCTATCAAGTAGCACCTAACTGGGGCTACATATCCTACTGCAGTCATTGAATAGATATATTTTGTTTTCCTGAAACTCTTTTTTGTAACTCAATTTACATTCCTTCTCTAGGCATCATCACAGCACACAAAATGCGATCTCCCATCCAGTACACACTGCATAGTGACTCAATCATGCACATTACAAAAAATATAAATTTCCACTTCTAGTTGCTAGAATTAATTCCACCCCTCTTTCTGACCCTCTGTCCCTTCCCACCCTCCTCTCACACCACCTCTAGTGTCCAAAATTGTCCTCCATTCCCTTCCCACCCACATTGCATTGATCACACAATTTCCTACATAACCTGACTACTTTCAAAGGTGAGTTCCCTCGTTACTACTAAGAAAACCAGTTTTAACTTAAATCAAAGAACCGCCAAGGAACTTTGCTTAAAGCCCGGAAACAGGTTAGGATTCTGTTCAAATGGTAGGTGCATGAACCTATCAGTCTCATATACTTTTATCTTCTGTTCTGGTTCAATTTTCCTGATTAAATTCTGGGATATAGTATTCAACTCCAGACTTGTCCCTATGATTAAGTTAGCTACTTTCTCAGTTTTTGGACTCTTATTTCCATGTATCTGCGTTTAGTTTTCCTGATACAGCACATCCTTGAGAACTTCTTGGAGGTCTGGTCTGGTGCTGGTAAATTCTTTCAGGTTTTGTTTATCTGAGAATGTTCTTGTCTTTTCTTCCCACCTGAAAGATAATCTTGCCGGATACAGTATTCTTGGCTGAAACTGCTTCTCTCTTAACACTTGGAATATATTTTCCCATTCTCTCCTCGCTTTTATTGTTTCTGATGAGAGATCTGCTGTTAGCCTGATGGGATGTCCTTTGTAGGTAACTTGATGTTTTTCTCTTGCTAATCTTAGTATCTTGTCTTTGTCTGCAGTTTTGGTCAACCTGGCTATAATGTGTCTTGGAGAAGATCTTCTAGGGTTGATTCTATTTGGGGTCCGTTGTATTTCCTGGGACTGGATCTTTGAATGCCTCTCTAGGTTTGGAAAGTTTTCTTGCAGGATTTCCTGGAATAGATTATCAATGCCCTTATGGGTTTCCTCACCTTCTGGAATGCCAATTATCCGGATATTTGGACGTTTGATGGTATCCAGTACTTCTCGCATATTATTCTCAAATTTTTGTGCCATTTTCTCAGCCTTCATGGTGGATTTTTCTAGGCCAGCCATTTTCTCCTCTACATCTGAGATTCTATTTTCTGAATGATCTAGTCTGCTTTTAATGCTTTCCAGGGAGATTTTGACTTCTTGTATTATAGACTTCATCTCTAGCAGTTCGGTTTGAGTCTTTTGTAAAGTGTGTAATTCCACTTTTAGATCTTGCAGGAATTTTCTCATCTCTTGGAACTCGTCAATCTCTTTCTCCTTTCTCTTTAGTAGTTCATTATCTCTCTTCTCTTCCATCTCTGTTAGCTTAGACATTATGAATGATCTGAATTCCTTATCAGACATTTCCATGATTTTCACCGAACTGCTTGTGGATGAAGAGTTACTCTTTTCCCTAGGAGGAGAGGTATTTTCTTGTTTTCCCATGTTTCTCGTGATCCGGCGGTGATTTCTTGTCATCTGATGAATGTTGTGTTTTCTTTCAAATTCTGGAGGTTCAGCCGCTAGCTCTTTTGTTGGAGGCTGAATTATTAGTAGAAAGTCTTCATTCCCTTAAAAATCTAGTTCACAGTAGCCATGTGGAACCTTATCCTGAAGGCCCGTGGCTTCTTCTGCCGCTAGCTCTTTTGTTGGAGGCTGAATTATTAGTAGAAAGTCTTCATTCCCTTAAAAATCTAGTTCACAGTAGCCATCAATTCTTGCCAAAGTGAAGCAATTCATGTCTGTTTATTCTTAGGGGGGTTTTATGAGAATCTTTTCAAATAGGTAAATCTATTTTGATTTGAAATAACAGCTATTTGTTATAAAATACCAGTTTGTGGTATCCATCTTCATGTGTTCTGTGATTATTTTTCAGCATAACTAGACTTATATTTAATGTAGTGAATGTGTTTTTCCAAATATTTTCCACATTACTGTGAACAGGTTGATAAAATTAGACCAGTATGAAAAAATAGGAAAAAGACAAGAGAGAGAAAAAAACTCAAGCAAAAATTCATTTGATTAAATTAATAGAAATCCAGCTATGATTTGCTTTTTGTGTTTTTGTTCTTTTTACGTCTAGCTTTATCAAGGTGTAAATAACAAAAATTACATATGTTTAAGTATAAGATGTGATGTTCTGATGTGCATATACATCATGAAATGATTATTACATCAAACCAATTAACATACCCATTCACCTCACATAGTTACCTTTTCTTTGATGATGGTGAGAACATTTAAGATCTACTGTCAGCAAGTTTCAGGCATACAATGTAGCATTGCTTATTTTTCTTTTTAATCAGGGTGCGTGCAATCACTAGAGAGAGAGGAGTGGGGTGGGGAGAGAAAGGACCCTTTAGTGGGGTGTGGTCATTCCACAGTTCCTCCTCTATTTCTCCATTCTGTTAGGATTTGGAGATGCACATGTGCTCAGCATGTTTTTCAAGCTGCTGGGGCCATGATTTGAACTGCAGTTGGCCATATGAGTTCCATCTTCCCTTAACCACTAAGCTTCAGAGCCAGCTCCAGTATGGTATTATTAAATATGGTAGTCACCATCTCTAGAACTTATTTATCCTGCATAACTGCAACTTCGTATCCTTAGATCAATACCTTGCCATTTCCTGCACTTCTTTATATTGGCTTTAATAATAAATGTAATGGACCCAACCTAGGCAGCAGCATCCATAGTGTACTGACCTGCAATGCTGGAATCCGCAGGGCTGACTGCAGATTTTGATCCCCAGCATTTGACTGAAAACATGCCTGGCACATGCTCAAAGAGCTGGATAGATTGTGAAGAGACTTAGAGGGGTTTCTCTCTGTCTCTCTTTCATACATGTGCTGTCATGATAGTCTCCCCTCCTCTCCAATTTGCCAGAGAAGACAAAGAGGGAAAGTGAGAAAGTACTTCCCGTGGGGAATGGTCACTGTGCAATCCCTTCTTTTCTATTCTCCCTCCATTTTCATTATTTTAAAGAGTGTACATATTCAAATATACATTATACATACACATAGTACCCAATTAAAGTGAATGAGGGTAGGAATGCTGTTTTATTTAACTAGAAGAGGATTGCATACATTTTCTTTCAATTTATCTTTTAAAATGAGTTGAGTTTATTTTACCATCTAAATCAAGACTTACTACTAATTTTAGTACTTCAATAATGGCCAGATGAATGCCTTTTTTTTTAATGGTAAATTTTCTAGAATCTTGAGCGCATTAAAACTGCTGTTTTACTTTTGTGGCTTTTTATCATTTCATTCTTTTTATCGTGTGTTACATGGCATATTTGTTAGAAATCTTGAGAGAATGTCTGGATCATTAAAATTAGAAATTATTCCCAAAATAGACCATAGATATTTTCTGTGCTTGCTTATCGGGATTAAAGAAGAAAAGTGGAAACTGTGTCAGCATTGCCCACAAACTTCTAGTGCTACATGACTATCCTTGTGATGTCCGTGCAATTATGTCAGTAATTTCACAATGGTGAGGGAAGTTTAGTTATAAATATATATTAAAAATACTTTTATCAAGGCATGATATAAATGCAGTAAAATGCATATTTCTTTTCTTTCTTTCTTTTTTTTTATTTTTTAGAGAGGGATTTTTGTTATAGACGCATGAGCTTGCTGGAGAGAGAGAGAGACTGACAGAAAGACAGAAAGCGAGAAATCACCTCTCTGGGGGAATGCCTACACTTCAGTCCCTTCTTCTCCATTCTCTTCTTGGGATCTTGGGCACGCACACATATTTGCCTGGTATGAGTTCTAAGTCTCTGGGTCTGGGACTCAAACCATGGTCTACCACATGGGAGTTCAGTGATACAACCATTGTGCAATCTACTGGTCCCAAATGTGTCCTTTTTCTTTTTTAGAGAGAGAGATTTTTGTTATAGGGTACGTGCGCTCGCCAGAGAAACTGATAGAGACAGACAGTGAGAAGTCACCCCCCGGGGGGGTATGGCCACACCGAAATCCCTTCTCCATTCTCCTCTTGGGATTTTGGGCATGCCTGGTGTGAGTTTTAAGCCAGCAAGTCCAGGACTTGAACCACGGTCGGCTTCGTGGGAGTCCAGCGACATGACCATTATGCCATCTACTGTTCCCCCAAATGCATACTTCATAAGTGTGCAGGTGCAGCTCAGTAAAATTTTGTTGTTATTATATAACTCTGTAACCATCATATTATGTAGTTTATAGTGGGAAACCACTGTTTTGTGGGTTTACTTTGATAAATATATTAATCAGTGTACATTTGAAGAAATTGCAATTACTTTCAGATAGTAGAAACATTAAGAAACCACAAAGAATCTTGCTTTTGGAACCACATGGGAACTAGTAGTTGCCATAATGTGTCCACAGACAGTCCCTCCTTACTGCTAGCAATGTAGACTTTTGTAATATGTGAGAGTTGCAGAGAGGAGACCCAGTTCTTGTCAGTAGTATTTCCCAGAGGGGTTAATAACTCTAAAATAATACACATCTTTGCATTGTAGGTCTTTTGACTAGCTTTGTTTTTGTTCTTAGAAATTGCTTTGAAGAAATAAGATGGATTTGTAAATGAAAACTAACCCTTAAAACTTTACTGTTTCAGAGATACTGCTTATTATCAATAACGGATTGATTTGCTTATTAAGCTGTTTTAAGTATTGAATCATTACTTCTTATTATGTATACTTCTGTGTTTTTTATTACAGTGAAAGTAACTTTTCTCCCAAGTTTAATGAAAAGGATGGGCATGTTGAAAGAAAGAGCCAGAATGGCCTGTATGAGATTGAAAATGGAAGACCTAGGTGGGTACTGGGATTGGAGTGTCTTACAATAATAGGTCTGTGGAGGGTAGAAAAGACAGTTAACATTTATTAAACACGTATATGCACCAGATGTTGTTCAAAAGAATTTATATGTGTGATCTAATGAAAGCTTCAGTAACCCATGAGTGGATAGTTTTAATTCTACTTTACAGGTAAGGAAAAAGAGTGTAAGCCATTTGTGTACAGCTAGTAAGTGGGACAGGCAAGATCTGAATGCTTCTTTTGTACCTCCACCTTGAAGGTAAAAATAATTAAATAAATGAACATCGAAAAGATTGAAAATTGTATGTTTAATAGTTATTAATTCAATGAAATGATGCTTTAAAGTAAGAATTTATCAAATATATCAGAATAAACATAAAAATAACCCAGTAATTTAGCATCAAGGTCCTGTACTTTTAAAAAGGATTTTTCTGTACAATTTTAAGATTACTCATTTTCTTTAAGATGATATTATAGAGTCAGAAAGAAATGAAAAATTAGCATGTCCCAAATAAAATAAAGAAAGGACCACAGATTTGGTTATCACTTTATAAAATGTTACAATTTGTACTTTTAGTTCCTGTAGGACAGAGAAAAGGTAGTATTCCTTTTATCTCAGTCTGGTCCTTCTGTTTGCTGATTTTTTTTTTAAGAGAAAAAGATGAGATATTTTAATTATTCAGTTCTTTAGTGAGAAACACAAAAACATAAGCCAGGGCTTCTTCCCACAGTTTACAATGTGAATAGAGAACAAGAAAGATGCTGTTCAACATAGGCAAATAATTCCGGGAGATAAATATAAACAAGTATGTTTGGCAGAATATAAATTCTTACATAAAAATGTGTAACAGTGTTTCAGGTACATCTGAAAAAGCTTTGAGAAAGTAAGAAATGGATAAAACTGGTCATCTACCTAGCCATAGAGCCGTTCTGAGTGGCACCAAAGGACGTTGTAGGGAAGGTGAAAGTAACCACCAGATAACTTTTTAGTCTGTGCTGTTATCCAGCATTTACAAATACCACGGGGAATGGCAGGAATTGCGAGTGGGATAGCTACCTATCCCTAACGTCTGCAGGCTAAATCTGCAGGCTGTCTACCTGTCCCTAACACCTGCAGTCAGAATGCCTTTCCAAACAGGGGAAGATGAGAAGTTAATCGTTCTCCCAGTGCCTGGCTTCCTGCTCCTTTACCTTTCCTCTCATATCTTTAACTGCCTCTCACAGGATACATTCAAGTAGTTGGGAAGTGTCAAACTTTTCAGAGTAAAGCAAAATCAAAGTTAAAGGCAAACATTTAGTCAATCGTGTTCAAACACAAGCTACTGAGTGAAGAGTTTTGGGTTGAAGGAGTCAAATACTCTGCATTCCTGAGAAATTTAATTCAGTTTCTCAGTCTGGTGAAATTTTACATTATACTTTGCTACCACGAGTGAAGTGAGCATACATTTTTGAATGTTAATTTCTCTCTCAAAGATCTGAATTAAAGATGGAAAGAGGCACCAGCTGATGACATAATGGTTATGTTGCTGGACTCTCACAGTCTTTTTTTTTTTTTTTTTTTTTGGGTAGGTTTTTGGTTTCGTGTCCACTCTTGGAGAGGTTTTTGCTATAGGGCACATGCTTTCTCCAGAAAGACAGAGAGAGACAGAGAGACAGGAAAGAAATCACCCCCCAGGAAGGATGGCCATGCCACAATCCCTTCTCCTCCATTCTCCTCTCAGGATCTTGGGCATGCATGCACAAGGCCTGGGGTGAGTTTAAGCCATAGGATCCGGGACTCTAACTGCGGTAGACTATGTGGGAGTTCAGCAACATAGCCATTACGCTAACTGCTGGTCCCTCACATAGTCTTAACTGCGGTTTGAGTCCCGGACCCAGCAGCTTAAAACTCACGGCAAGTGCATGCGCATGTGTGCCCAAAATCCTGAAGAAAGGATGGTGAAGAAGGGATTGTGTCGTGGTCATCTCCCCCAGGGGGTGACTTCTTGCTTTCAGTCTCTCTCTGGCGAGCACACATGCCCTATAGTAAAAACTCTCTCTCTCAAAAAAAAAAAAAAAAAAAAGAAAAAAAGAAAAAAGAAAGAAGAAGAAGGTGGAAAAAGGCATTTTGTATCTCTATTTTTTTTTTTTTTCTTTTCTAAAAATCAGTCCAAGTAAAAGGAGCCAAGCATCAGTCTCTGAAGGGGGGAACATTCTCATAGAGGCATTGTAAGGCCAAGTCTGTCCACTTGATTTCTTATTTGTTGATAGATTCTCTAGTGCCACTGTTGTCTTGTTCAGGTTCAGGACGTTTATTCAACGATATTATGGCATCCTCAAGCAGCTTGTTTTCTCACCACATGTTGTCAATTAGATCCTAACATCTCCCTGTGCCTCACTGTCCATTTTCCTGGAGCTTTGATCTTGTCAGATCAGTACCCATCCCTCTATGGGTCCCATAGTTTCTCGGGCCTGTTTTGCTGAATTTTAACTTGGTCAGAACTTACCTTTCTGTGTTTTTGGGTCTCTTCAAGTCAAACCCTTACAGTTGATATATTCCTTGGTTTCTTTTCTTAGTGAGATACATGAAAAGGTACATACACTGTATACAAGGATAAGCAGCAAAGCCACGATCGATTGTTGTTTCAGTCAGGGTCTTAGACAATAGGAACCAACTCTAGCTTGCATAAGCAATGAGTAAACATGGTTTTAAGGCTATAGGAATTATTTCAGGTAGCCTGAAGCAAAATTGCAGCTCACTTTAGGCAAGAGTAGAGTTGGAGAGCTGTAAGGGCTCTTTCTGCCTTATCTCTGCTTTTCCCTCTATGTTGGCTTCATGTCTCCCCCTCTGCAAACATCTTTCCCT